TCAACCACTAGATGTCGCTGAAAACAACAAATCCTACACACTGTGCCTTTAAAGTGCATCTGGCACAAAACACCTTTGCCAAAACAAACAAATGAGTTTGTCCAAGAAACAGCAGCACATGCAGATAAAGTTATACAGGTCAGACTGAGATGGTTCGGACATGTGCCGAGGAGGGACAGCATGTTTTTCAGTAGAAGAATGTTAGAAACGCAGCCGCCAGGAAAAACACAAAGAGACAGGCTAAAGAGACGATACATGGATGCAGTTAGAGAGGACATTTCCTTTTTATTTCTCAACATTTATTTGGATTCATTTTAAAAGGGATATTTTTTATTAAAGGTTTACCATAAAGAACCATAGAGAATTTATCTTGGTCCAGCAGACACCAGCCTCAATAGATAATGAATAAATATGAACAATTACAACCAAATCATGAGAGAAAAGTGTTTTAATAACTAAAATGTTCAGGGAAAATAAGTGATTGCTAGTCTAAGAAATAAAATTAAAAAACATGAAAAAATTCAGTACCCACCAGAAACTTTATCCAATTAGGTCTGATTGCTGCCAGGAACAACAGTTGATACCTGAAGAGAACGAGCTCTGTTCCATCCAGTTTCAGACAGAGGTTAGAACGTGTCTGAGCAGACTGAAAAACAGATTGTGCCTCATTTAGTCAATCTGTGTCCGGTCTGACCTAAATGGAGCCACTGGACAATCAATATAACAGTGGCAGATTAGAAAAAGCACAATGTGTAATGATTTATATTCCACACGCTATAAACATGCAGACGATTTAAGTGGATTTTGTGGACAGAAATCAGGTTTTCTTCCACAGTAGTTTTTCTGGCTAACACAAATGAGGTTTATTATGTTGTTTTAACTTTTTTTTTTTCTTTTTTGATTGATGGTGGCAATGACAGCTAAAGATAGTCTGGGGTAGAGCTGTCTAAAGTATTCACATTCAGTACTCAATTAGAATTATATATACTAGGGTTTAAAAAACGTTTTTGGAAGTATGTAAAAGTGTAAAAGTACTGATTTTAAAACTGTCGTGTCTCCAGTGAGTGACCAGTTTGTGATGCATTAGCTCATTATGTAAAAATATCATTGAATGGAGAAACATTTTAGTAGAACTGATTGTCACTGATGGTCTTGTTTGCATAAAGTTTTGTAGATTAAATTTAATTGTGCGCACAGTAAGTTTAAGTTCTGTTTTTGTTTTTGTTTTTTATGAAAGTGTTGGGTCCAGTGTGACCCCGAGGTACTTGAACTCCTCGATAAGGTCGAGTTCCACTTACCTCAGGATCATATTGGACCGATGCAGTTTTGTGGGTCTTTTTGTGAACATCATGGAAATAGTTTTCTTTGTATTCAATAACAGACAAGATTTAAAGAGCTAATGCTGTATTATTTAAAGGGATCCATGATTGGTGCACTTGGACTGGGTGGAGCCGGCGTTTTCCTTCAGCCATGAAGACGTGAAGCCAGCCAAAAGGGTTTTGGATTTTTCCGTCGGCTGGTTTGCAGAGCCCGTCTTTGGCAGCGGCGACTATCCTGCAGGGATGAGGAGCTGGCTGCGTCAGCTCAACTCACTTGAGTTGCCTGTTTTCAACGAGGAGGACAGACAGCTGGTTAAAGGGACGTATGACTTCTTTGCTATGAGCCACTTCAGCTCCAAGCTTGTGACTCATGCCAAGGAGGACTCATACACCTGCACAGCAACGCTTGAGGTCCAGCACATGATCGAGGCCCGTGGTGCCCTCTGAGGAAAGCGCTCAACTGGGTGAAGGAGCGCTACGGCGACGTGCCGATCTACGTGATGGCCAACGGGGTTCTGGAAGACCCGGCCCGTTTCAATCGCCTACACCCTGAACGACCACAGAGACCCAGGCTTCGGTTTGTACGGCCAAGTTCACGATGAGGCCATCGTCAAGGCCTCCCTCTCCAACTATCGCAACATCAGCCAACATAACGGCTTCCCCATTCAAGGGGCCGCGCCGCAACAGTGTCCCGCTTCTCTTCTCCCCAGTCCTGCCTGGGCTACCATGTTCTGGACAAGAGGCCCGTGGTGGGCTTCCTGTCACTGGTGAGTTCAGGGGTGCTGATCACCCTGGGCTTCATTATTTATTACACAGCCAAGAGAAACAAGGAGTATTACTGAGAAAAAAGGGATAAAGACTGGAAAGAAACTGCTTAATTGGAAGTCTTGTCTGAAGCCTCGTCAGCTTCATGTTTTAGGTGTTAGAAGTGTTTTTAAATGTTCGCTGAATGTTCAGAGTTAACTTGTGAGACAAGTTACAAACACCACTTGGTATTATAAAGTACCTGAATCACAAACAAACTGTACAAATGTTTTTGATTTGCCCATGCAGTCGGATCAAGAGGTGTAACAAAAACCGACTAAAAACTTTCAGCACAAAGAATGAGACTGGAAAAAACTTTAAAAAACATTTAAAGTATGTACAAATCATTCAGTTATCATCTGTTTGTTTTCTAGATTGTGGCCTAATTCACATTTTTTTTCCACTTATGTGGCTTTCATCAATCATTTATTAATTTGAGTACTTTTATCTAGAATATTTCAAACTTCCTATCATATTCTCTGTCGTCTCCAGCTGAATTTAATAAGTTTATAATGTAGTTCTAAGGGTTGGGTTTGGGACCCTATAAGGAGTCACCCAACACTAATCAGGAGCCCCTTAGATAAGAGGTTGGGTCTGGGGACCCCTTACAAGGGCAAAAAAAAAAAAAAA